GGGGGGGGGGGGGAGAAAAATCCCGGAATTCCAGGATTCCAGGATCACTCACCCCGGGGGGTTCCAGGATCGCCCGGGAATCCCACGGGACTCTGAAACGGGGCGGGGGGGGGGAAAGATCCCGGGATTTGGGGGGATCCCAAAGGATTCCAGGGGGGTGTTTTCCACGCCCTGGATCCCTGGAAAAGCGGATTTTTGGCTCACGCCCCGGGGGACGGGGGGTGTCCCGCTGCCCCAGGACCCCCATCCCGGGCTGGGGGGGTGTCCCGGAGAGCCCCTTCCCATATTTCCCATCCTATTCCCGCCCTGCCGGGGGTCCCCAAATTCCTCGGGTACCGCCTGGGAGGGTCCATTGGGGTCCCCTGAGCCCCCCGCGGTGCCGGGGGGGCCCGTGGGAGGTTTTTTTTGGGGGGGGTTGATGGTTGCGTTACCTCTAGAGGGCTCTGGGTGAGCGCAGCTCGGCTGCTGCTCCCGGCGTCTCCCGGATACCGAGTCGGGTTTCCGGAGCTAAAACCCGGCCTAAACCCCCCCTTTGTGTCCTAAAACCCCCCTTTGTGTCCTAAAACCCCCCTTTGTGTCCCGCTGGGGGGAAGATTTGCGGTCCTGGGGGTCCCTGGGGGGGTCCCTGGGGGGGTCCGGGCGTCCCGCTTGGGAAGGGAGGACGCTTTTCCCGAAGGAAATCCCTGTGGAAGCGGCTCCGGGATCGGCCGGACCCCGAGCAGGTAACGGGGAGGGGGGAGCTGAGGGGGGGTCCCGGTGTTGAGGGGGGTCCTGGGAGGGCAGGATGAGGCCCTGGGGGATGTTCCCGAGGAATATCAGCTCCTCTGGGAAGAGGACGATGGATAAAGAGGATGGAGAGTGTTTGGGATCCACAGCCCTGCTCCGGGGGTGCAGCTCCCCCCCCCCCCCCCCCGGGGGCAACATCGATATTTCTGGAAAGCACGGGGGGGGGGGGGACAATTCCTCCGTGTCAGGGGTTTTTCCCCCCCAGGCAGACGATTTTTGGGACTGTTCTCCCCCCATGGAGCCCTGGGCGCCGCTGGACCCGCGGCAGAAGGAGCTGTACCGGGAGGTGATGCACGAGAGCTACGAGACCCTCCTGTCCCTGGGTAAAAAACCTCCCAAATTCCTCTTTCCCTGCTCTCTTCTCCTCTATAAAACCCTCCTGTCCCTGGGTAAAAAACCCCAAATTCCTCTTTCCCTGCTCTCCTCTATGAAACCCTCCTGTCCCTGGGTAAAAAACCCCCAAATTCCTCTTTCCAGGCTCTCCTCTCCTTGCTCTGATGGGAAGAGGGGAGGAGAATCTGGGCAGGTTTCCAGGGAGGTTTCCCCAAATCCCCCCAGCCCTCTCCTTGATTCCTTTTCCCTCGGGAGAACGTTATTGTGATCTCCCCTAATTTAAAGTGGAATTCTGGGCAGTGATTAGGGGTGTGCTGAGCTCATTCCCAGCTCCAACTGGGATCAGCTCCCTCCCTCCTCCTCTCTGGAGTTTTAAGGGGAATCCTGTTGCTGCTCCCTGGATTTCCACCCCATCCCTGCTCCGGTCAGGGCCACTCACTCCAGTTTTCCTCCTTCTCTTCCTCCTCCTCCTCCTCCTCCTCTCTCCTCCTCCTCCCTCTCCCAGCAGCTCAGGGCCTGGTGAGTGCAAAGGCAGAGTCAGAGGACGGAGCAGCCGAGCCCGGCGAGGCTCCGGGGGTGGGCTCGGAGCGGGAGAAGCCCCTCGGCTCCCACCGGCGCAAAGCGAAGCGCCCGGACCGGGCCGTGCCCCCCGGAGCCCCCGCGGCGGTGCCCAAACCCGAGCCCGAGGAAAGGCCGTGCCGGGATCGGTGCCGGGATCGGCCCTTCGGCTGCGCCGACTGCGGGAAGAGCTTCCCGTGGGCCTCCCACCTGGAGCGGCACCGGCGCGTCCACACCGGGGAGAGACCCTTTGGCTGCCCCGAGTGCGGCGAGACCTACAGCCAGAGCTCGCACCTGCGGCAGCACCGGCGCGGCCACGCCGGCGACCGCCCGCGCCGAGGAGGCCGGGGCGGCGGCCAGAGCTTCCCCGGCACGGCCCCGCGGCCCCACCGCTGCGGCGACTGCGGCAAGGCCTTCGCCTGGGCCTCGCACCTGGAGCGGCACCGGCGCGTCCACACCGGCGAGCGGCCCTTCGGGTGCGCCGAGTGCGGCGAGCGCTTCAGCCAGGCCTCCCACCTGGCCAAGCACCGCCGCGGCCACGCCGCCGCCGCCGAGCGGCCTCACCGCTGCCCGGCCTGCGGCAAGACCTTCCGGCAGAGCGCGGAGCTGGCGCGGCACCGGGGCGCCCACCTGGGCCGGCGGGCCCTGCGCTGCGGCCACTGCGGGCGGCTGTTCCGCGCCGGGCCGGCGCTGGCGCGGCACCAGCGCCGCCACCACCGCCCGCCCGAGCGCTCGCACCGCTGCGGCCACTGCGGCAAGGCCTTCGCCTGGGCCTCACACCTCGAGCGCCACCGGCGCGTCCACACCGGCGAGAGGCCCTTCGGCTGCCCCGAGTGCGGCGAGGCCTTCAGCCAGGCCTCCCACCTCGCCAAACACCGCCGCAGCCACCTCCACAAGGCCGCGGGGCCGCCCTGCGCCAGGACCTGGCACCGGGTGGGGGACGAGCCGCAAGTCACCACGGACTCACCTGGAGCCCATGGCGGCGAGGAGGCCTGAGGGGCCGAGACCCCCTGAAGGGCCGAGACCCTCCCTTGGAGTGATGGATGGGGAGGAAGGACGGTGCCCCAAGCCGAAACTCGGCTTGAGGACAAGGCCAAAGACTTGGGGATGAGCCCCCCCGGAGTCACTTCGCGTGTGGGGGGGGCTGCGGAGCCCCTCGTTGGGACCCCTTAAATTTATCGGTGATAAACACATCGGGGACCGTTTTGGGGCAAAATCGCCTGAATTTGGAGAGGGGGGGGTGCTGGGGGTGGTGTAGCCCCTGTGCTCTGAGGGGACGGGGCTGAGGGGCTGCAGGACTCCCCCCCAGTGCTGCACCTTCACAGTGGGGAAAGGGGCTGATTTGGGGGGCAAAAGGGGGAGTTTCTGTCACCAGAACAAAGAGCACCCCCGAGACGTGTTAGGACCCCCCCACGAGGAGTTCGGAGCCCCCAAAATTCGCGTTTTTTCCCCTCCCCGGGGCCACAGCGGCCTTTGGAGGAGGCTTTGCCCCTCGACAGGGCCCCGTCGCCATGGCAACGCCGGCGGCCGCCCTCCCCCAAGATGGCGGGTAGGGCCTCACCCGCGGGCGCCATCTTGAGCCGGGCCCCGCTGGCGGCAACGGGGACGGGGAGGGCGCGGCCATTTTCCCTCGCGCCCCGCCTGAGGGCGGCGCCGCCATTTTGGAAGAGGGCACCTCCCATTCCGACCCCGAATTAACCTTTTTTCAGCCCGATTTCTGCGCTCCCCGGCCCCGCAGCGACGCCTCCCACAAATATTCTCCTCACCCAAAAGCCAGTGTCATCGGGGGCAGCGAGGACAGCGTAGAGAAAAGCAGGGAAATGGTCGGTGTCGAATCCTCTGTCCGCATCATGCAGGAGGGAGCTCCCAGCAGCAGGGATTTAAGTCCCTAAATCCCTCGGGAAAGGACCGATGAGTGGGCGTAGCGGGGGTTTGGGGTCATTTTTGTACATCTGGAGGTTTTGGGTCATTTTCCCCTCAGCCCAAGTTCCTGGAGCGGCTCTGTGATGCTCATGGGGACACGGCACAGAGGCCAATGCTGTGAAAACCACCCCAAAACCCTCCTCTCTCCCCTCTTCGGGCCAGGAACGCCCCAACCCACCACCTACACACCCCTCAACATCATATAGGGACCCTCACAGCATCCCATAGGGCCCTACGCATCCCCTCCTGCTCACAGGGATCTCTGACGATCACCCTGCACCCTACTGGGACCCCCCCCTCAGAACCCTACAATAGAAACCCCCCAATTCCATAGAGACCCCCCAAAACATCCTACAGACCCAAATACACCGTCCCAAACCCACAGGGAACCCCCAAACCACCTTTTAGACCCTAATTCACCCCCACCCCAATCCCACAGGGACCCCCAAACCACCCTACAGACCCAAATACACCGCCCCAATCCCATAGGGAACCCCCAAGCCAA